CCGGCAGTGTGCCCAGGTAGCCAAGAAGGCCAACAGCATCCTGGCCTGTATCAAGAATAGTGTGGCCAGCAGGAGTAGGGAGGGGATTGTGCCCCTGTACTCGGCACTGGTGAGGCCGCACCTCGAATCCCGTGTTCAGTTTTGGGCCCCTCCCTACAAGAAGGATGCTGAGGTGCTGGAGCGTGTCCAAAGAAGGGCAACGAAGCTGGTGAGGGGTCTGGAGAACAAGTCTTAGGAGGAGTGGCTGAGGGAACTGGGGTTGTTCATTCTGGAGAAGAGGAGGCTGAGGGGAGTCCTGATCCCTCTCTACAACTACCTGAAAGGGGGTTGTGGTGATGTGAATGTTGGTCTCTTCTCCAAGTAACTAGTGATAGGACAAGCAGAAACGGCCTCAAGTTGCACCAGGGGAGGTTTAGATTAGATATTAGGAAAAATTTCTTTACGGAGTGGTCAAATATTGGAACAGGCTGCCCAGGGAGGTGGTGGAGTCGCCATCTCTGGAACTGTTCAAAAAACATGTGGACGTGGCTCTTTGGGACATGGTTTAGTGGGCATGGGTGGTGTTGGGTTAACAGTCGGACTTGATGATCTTTAAGGTCTTTTCCAACTGTAATGATGCTGTGTGATTCTGTGATTTTTATTTAGTTACAGTAAATGCTATGCTTACTCTTTTCTTAAAAGTAGTAGCACAACTACGACCAAATATGGTAATATTTATGCAGGTGTTTACTCTTCAGTAAGTAACATTGAAGTACTGTTCTAGATGCTGGGAATAAAAAGCTTGAAAGGTAAGGTCCAAGTGCTGTGACAGTATTTGTGATAGCTGACACATACTATTGAAAATGTGTGTTAGTTTCTTTTTTTTTCCTAATGGAAAGAAGTTTCTGTTTAGGTTTCAATTCATGCATAAGTCATGTATCTTTCTTGTCATTCTTCAGAAGCTCAATGTTTCTAAATTCTTGTGACAATTATTTAAAATGAAAGCTTAAATTCCAGAGAAAAGCCTAGAAATTACATTTTATTGGGGGATTTTTTCTCCCCAGAACTGTATATTCTGCTCCAAACCAAGGTACTGAGCATGTAATTTAACAGAAAATGTGATCTTTATAGATGAATTTCTGTTGGAGAAAAAGTTTTACTTAAGTTCTTGTATGCAAGTTATTCGGTAGCATGTTATGCTACAAAAGATTGGGCAAAGATGACTTTGTTCCATAGTAGTCTATTGTCCAAAAGTACAAATGGAAGACTAGCGGAGTCTGGAACACGGGGACATGGGTTTGTGTGCTGCCAGAACTTAATGAAATACTGTTTTCTAGGTTCATTGATTTCTACCGAGGAAGACTTGGAACTCTCATGACTTTGCCAGTTTTCACATTAAGTGGTATTCATTGCATTGGAAAGGTTATTGAGAAAAACAGGAACTCTTAGAGGAATCAGTGATGGATGCAGAGCCCAGATGTGGAGCCACTGTGCTTCACTCTAACTGTAGCATAGTTCTCTGGATGCAAGCTAGACCAGGAGATTAGTATGGGGAAGCCCAGCTCTAGGGTTACACTGAGACTGGACACATGATGCTTCTCAAAGCTTTAGAACAGAATAACTAATGAAAGTCTAAGGTTTCATGTTCTTCTAAAGTTGCAGAGTTTATATCTCAAAACTTAGTTTAGAAATTCCTTGTTCTCTGTTGGTCTCTGCCCTCCGCCCCCCCCCCCCCAACCTTCTTTTTTTTAGTTGCAGTTGGTAATTGGAGTTTTGTTTGAAGATAAAATTGCCAGTTTGCCAACCCTGTGCAAGTGAATTGAGGTCTGCAAAACTTGTCACTAGGTGTAGGATGGGGCCATCCTGAAATTTGTTCATGTTCTGAAGCTTTGTAACAGTAGAGAGTGGTACCATCAAACAGCATTTTACTTCAAAACTGATTTTCTAAAATACCATCTTTCTTCTGTTAATTGGCAGTTCCAACAGCAAAATGATTTTATGATCATGTATCTGTGAATATTATTCTGTATATATGTACATGATGGTTCACTTTTATGTTTGCTTGTGTGTTTTGTTTTTTTTTTTTGTCTTGAAGATTCTTGGATATCCCAGTCAGCTTCCTTCCCTAGGAATCAGAAGCAACCAGGTGTGGATTCTCTGTCACCTGTCGCATCACTTCCTAAACAGATTTTCCAGCCTTCTGCCCAGCAGCAGCCTTCTAAACAGGTTAAAGTCACATGTGCAAATTGCAAAAAGCCTTTACAAAAGGGACAAACTGCATATCAACGGAAAGGATCAGCTCACCTTTTTTGTTCTACTACCTGCCTGTCATCATTCTCACACAAACCCACTCCAAAGAAACTTTGTGTTATGTGCAGAAAGTAAGGGATTTTTTTACGTTGTTTCATATTAGCAGCTAAATCCACTAATACTTGAGATTCTTATGTGTGTATAAGAATTGCTCTGTTAATGATATAAAATCTGACTATACAAGTACTTTGTATAGTGTCACTTTAATGTTGTTTGGAAATGTTGAATTCACTGTGCCTGCTATAACAAAATAAAGTCTACCAGCTTTTGCATTCAGAGTATGGCAGATGAAGGCCAATACACCAAAAATTACTGATTAAAAAAAAAAAAAAGACAGGGTGTCCAAGTTACTAGATATAAAGAATATATTTTGTCACAGGATATATAAAGTTCATTATGAAAAAAAAGTGGACCTTGCATTGAATAGAAAGCACTCATTTTCATAGATGAAGATACAAAACCAAGGGGCTTTAAAAGGAGGAGAAACTGATGATTGCAAGAAGCTGGAAGAACTTTGGGAGTTCTTCAACCATTTCCAGTGTGGGGAGAGGAGAAGCCTTAGACTTTCCCCATAGTTAGGGGCAACTGTGGCAACTTTTGAAGTTGAAGATAGCTTACGTGGGCAGTATGGACAGAGTGACAAGTATACTTAGAAGTGGCTTATTCTAAACTACTGGTTAGGTTTGACTTGTAATTTTTCATTATTTCCCAAACTTAAAACTGCCCGAGAGAAGTATTCCATAATTATACTATTGGAGTGTTAGGTGTACAAAATAGCTGTACTCTCTCTTACTTTTCAGTGTACTGATTACAGAGATACTTGCACTTTTTCATACTTTTTCAGTAAAGTCTCAATCCAGTACAAACTGCAATGACACTGGTTAAATGATGAGTTTTTGCTGAACTAAAGAAAGATTGCAGTAAAGACTGCCTTTGTTAATCTGTTTTTTGGAGAGGATGGTCTTTGCTCAATTGCACGTTTAAACTAGTGAAAAAGTTTTATCTCAGTATGCAATGTGGTGGATTAATGACATTAATTACTGAAAAACTAGCAGACTTACATCTATTTTAAAAAAGCTGAAATATAAAAGCTCAAATTCTCTCAACCCTTGCCTCTATAGAGCTATTTAAAAGCACTGTGTACTCTTTTTGTTGGCTTGTAGAAGTTTATACACTTTTTTAAAAGTCATCTGGTGACTGCCATATTCAACTAGCTGCATTATATATGAAGGTGAAGATTAGTCTAATCTTTTTATTTCTGAGGGAAATTTTTAAAACTCATGGCTAAGTCTGTGCTCTCAAATATCTCCAGAGTTACAAATCTGTGTATGTTAAGAGGCTACATAAAAACTGCCCTAAATGAGAAGTTTTATTTTCTAATAATGTGGAAAATACATTATTTCTAGCTTTTGTGGTTATTTAAAAATAGTTTGTCTAGCATATTTGATTTCTAGATAACCTCTGTGAAGTCACCTTTGACAGTTTTTGAGGTGATGTTGGTCTTTGCTCTTCCAGTAGTATGCAGTGACTTAGTCACATTTAAATAGAGGGCAGTATATGCATGAAAGTGTTCCTCTGTAGCATGGCTTTGTTGTGAAGCTAGATCTTACCCAGCCTTTTTTTGCCAACATATTGCCTGTATGTCAATAATAGTTTTTTTTTTTGCTTAGAGGGCAAAGGGGGAGGCTTTTCTTTCTTCTCCTTACTGCTTCTAATTTATGGTATGTAATAATTTGGGATTAAGAGTGAAACTTCCTTAGAAATGACCTTAGAAGTTTGGGAGACCTGATTATGAAGGTGCACTGACAAGCACAGCATTAGCAACTTTGCTAAGTTTGCAGTGCATGCAGCATACAGTTGAAGATCAAGGAAGTCTAGAATTAACTTCAGTGAAAAACAGTGTAAATCAGTTTGGTTAGGAGAAGGTTTGTTCTAGTTAAAATTAATTTTATTGGTGGTTGCTTGTCTGGTTTAATGCATTAAGTTGCTGCAGTTTCATAGGCAACTGCATGAATTGTTCAGGTGCTTTGGAACTTTAAATTACTGATGGAATAAACTTTTAAAAAAAACTAAGTGATAATACTCTAGGCAAGTTTGTGCTAGAGTTTTAAGCTGTTTGGTTGTATTTGTAAGTTTGAGAAAACAACCTTCTCTCTTCCTTTCATCTATCCTGAGAGTAATACTGGAAATGGTGGAGTTTATTTTACTGTGAATCTGAATTTTTCATGTGAAACTTAAATATAGCTTAAAACTATAGCTTTTGTGTAAGGTTGCAAAAGGGCTGGTTTAAACTTGCTGTGTTAATTTTTTTGTGTAAGATGGAGTTTGACACAACTGGTACCTAGTGGTGCATTATTGTCACTTCTAGAATAATGTCATGGGAAAGAAATAACCCCAGTCAAAAAAAAAAAAAACAAAAAAAAAACCAAAACAAAACAAAAAAGGTTTTTACACAGGACATTGTACTTGCAGTAGGTATAGTAGTTGTAAAAATATTATTAAACTTAGTGTTTGACATGTGACTAACAACTGTATACCCACAAAACTGGTTTGAAAGGTAAGCATTAAAAGGAGGAATGGATCTTTTAAGATGTAAAGTGTTCTTGTATATATGTATTTATACACAAGCACACTAGAGGGTTTTTTTGTCTTTCAGAGATATAACAACAATGAAAGGTACCATTGTTGCTCAAGTTGATTCAAGTGAGTCTTTCCAGGAGTTTTGCAGTACATCATGCTTATCCTTCTATGAAGATAAACAGAATCCCTCGAAAGGAGTTTTGAATAAATCAAGATGCACTATCTGTGGTAAACTAACTGAGGTCTGGTTGGCTGTTTTTTCTCTTCTCTTTCTCAATAGTGACAATATTCATAACTTACATTCTGAAATGAGAGAACTGAAAATAAGGAAATTTAGTATCTGATTCAGTATTTTCATATCCAGTAAGATATTAAGTGTGCAGGCTTAATATTCATGAGGAGCAACTGAAGGAAGAAGGAATACAAAGAGGTTAATACTTGATTTTTGGTTCAGAAACTTGAAGTGTCTTTTGCTGATACGTTGTAGCTACTGTCAATGATTCTGTTAGGTGTAGAATCTTGTAATTACAACCCAGTTCCCCCACAAAGAATTGCTGTTGAAAAAAGTCAAGATTTACTACATGCTTTGAAAGATCATGCAAATATTTTTGGAGATAGGTAGAATATATGTAACTTTAAATTCTCATGAATGTATTAATTTACTCTTTATGCCATTACTGGGCCCACCATAGTTCAGGCTGCTGCTGTACACAGGCATATGTGTCTGGCCAGTCTTCATATGCCATGTTGTTAGCCTGCAAATTGAGTATTTTATAAAATCGCATAAATTGACCTTCTGCTCTAATATGCAATTACATCCTCCCCTGTGATCTTTGCTTCTAGGTTACAAGAGCAAATGGGTCCAAGAGTGTTTTCTAGAACCTTGGAGACACAGAAACACCAATTTCTCTTTCTGTATTTCATGGCCATTTCAAGCATATCTCTTCTTAAATAATGAGCTAGTATAATCTGGTTTTAGGTATTGTTCTTGAGTGTAAGACTTCTGGCTTGTCTAGTATTTTCAGGCAACTTTGTGCTTGTGTAGTGATAAAATACTTTTTTTATTTTTATTTTTTAGATTCGTCATGAAGTTAGCTTTAAAAATATGACTCATAAGCTGTGCAGTGACCATTGCTTCAATAGATACAGGATGGCAAATGGTTTAATAATGAATTGCTGTGAGCATTGCGGGGAGTATTTGCCCAGTAAGGGAGCTGGAAACAATATTCTTACTATTGATGGTCAGCAGAAAAGATTCTGCTGTCAGAACTGCGTTGGTGAATACAAGCAGGTAATTACTTCTTTACCTATAAATTAAAGATAATTAAACACTAGTACTCCTTAATTTATCCTGTTATTCATAACATGGTTTTACTTCTCATTAGAAGTCTTAAGCAACAAAGACTTTTGAAAATAAAATCAATGCCCACAAAGGCAAACTAGTCAGAATGGACCTTATACTACTACTGGGTTTTTTTTGATGTTGCTGTAATAGCAATACCTATTTGTTATTAATTAAAATATCATTGAAATTAAACTTTCTGTTAATAATTTCTATTTTTTTCTACTAGGTGTATCATGAGTATATTAATAGCAAGCCTGACTCACAGGCTTAGTGGTCCTTAAGTCATGTTCTTTTTCAGATATAAAAGCTCACTTGTATGCAATCGAAATGTTAAAAAATGTGCAGAGCATACAGATTGGATATTGCTGTGAGAATGGTCTAATTGATTACACATTGTCTGTGCACCTGTATTATGTCTAATCTCTCTCACTGTACAGCATAGGATTTCAAAATTTATTGTAACTTTCATCCTTGCATGTGTTAAATCTTGTGCTTTCATTTTCCTTACTTGGTTTGCTTTTTATTTTTTCTTAAGACCATTAAGATAGTAATAATTGTTGTACTTAATAATTTTCTTTGGTTTTTCTTTGGTTTTGTTCTTTTTGCATGGTACATTCTGCTCTAAGTTCATAGGGATAGTGTTACAAAATACGAAAGCAGTATTGTACTATCAAGAAATTTCTTTATCTGATTTTGAAGTTCACACTTGAATATGTGAGTGGCCCCAGTGCTGCACATTGCTTTGGATTCTTTCTTCATCTCTTTCCATTTTTAAGAAACCTATGGTCCAAGAGAAAAGGGAGTGCAGTGCTGAATGTTTTTAAGTTCTTTAATGTTGCATCATGTGTGTTTGTATTTTCTCTTTGGACATTCAGTTTTGATGCTTTTGGGGATGGCTGTTCTTGTGTATATGCAATGTGCAAACAGCAAATCTGGAAACATGCATATGTAAATAAGCGTTATTCTTTTGTCACAGCTATACCAAAAGGGACAGGATAGGTTTCCAAGATACTAAAAACATAGGCATGCCCAGAAGCCATGGAAAGACTTGAAGAAACGTTGAATACTGTCTCTCGAAGAAACAAAAAGGCATGAGATTAACTTTGAACTTGAGACATTCCCACACAACCAGTATAACATGCACTGCACATGGAGTTATGAAATGAACGTGGAATTTTGAGAGGTCAAATGATAAATGTGTACTTAACTCATTATAGACTGTACTCTGTTCAGATATTGTTGTATTTTGTGTTTAGATATGTATTTGAGAATGAGAAGGCTATGGGTAGCAAGTTGTGTATGTTCTGGTTTGATTTGGGGAGGAGGAGCAGTTTGCAGTACCAGGAATCTTCACAAGTAGTGTCAGGTATTGTGCATTATTGTGAGGATCCTTAAGAGAACCTTTAAAATTGAGACATTTTGTTTTGGTGCGTTCAGGTCTGACAGCAGACTCTATTTAAACAAGTTCTTAATTCTTTTGTGGAAATATTTGCTACTGGGGAACTGTAATAGGCTGTGAGAAGCTTAATTCGAGTGCTCATGTGCATCTGGTTTGGAGTGGTGATTAAGTGTAATTCTTAACTGGTAGGTTTCAAATGTTCCTGGAATGTGGGTGTTTTGGGATATTTTTTACATTAAGAGAAACTCAAACTATAAAATTAAGAGGTTTTTAGTGCATGTTGTAGGTGTTAAAGTTGCTCAGGACACAATTATTTGAGAATATTTAGTTGTCTAGCAGGATTTACTTAGGTTTGAACTTCCATTTGCATTAAGGTTTTTTTGAACTGAATGTTTTAAAGGAATTACGTGTTTTAAAAAGGAATTTAGACTTTGGAAAATGTCACTGACAACTCATTGGGCCACAGTTGGTAAATTGTAGGTTGCTTTGTTCAGTTGTAACAATGTTTTATTGGAAATTTTTTATTAGACCTTTCTTTTAAAGGAGGACTGGTGAAGGAGAGAATATGGGAGAGTCGCTATTACACACTGAAATAAACCCAACAGTATCAGTAATATAGGAAAACTTGATGTATCATTTGATTACAGCATTATGTTGTACAACTGATTATTGTGTGTCACATAACAGTTTTAGCAAATGTTTTCTTACCAACAGTTGTAAAATACATAGGTCTTACTGGTATGAGCTTTGTATTAAGTAGTTTCTTGTAAATGTCATACACATTGTAGTAGTAATAAATGAAAAGTGATTCTTACTACTTGTACCTCTCTATATACTTAATCCCTATTTTTTTGAATAAATATTACACTGATTTGAACAATTAGTTTTCAGTAACTTATCATGGACATTTTTTCTTCCTGGAATGAAAAGAATAAAATAATGGGTAATAAAAATTACTATGGCTCTCGGAGTGGCCATGTTCAGAGTGCAAATAATCCATCGGCTACAAAGGGTTTCTTTCATCTGCTCTAGACTGTTAGTGGGAGTAAGAAACAGTGTTATTCCTCGGATGGGGAGTAGTTTTTTACTGAAGTGCCTAAGTCACCTTTCAAGGTGGTGGTGGATGCACTTAGCTTTCTACGTACCAGTTTCAGAACCTGCTTTAAAACTGAGACACAAATAATCTTGAATATTGAATCCTGTATTTTGCTTTTCTGAGAGGTGATGGCTGTTCCTTCTTATGTAGAACTGAAGTAATTACAGAGCTTAGGTTTCTTTCATATTAAAAATCTATGAAAAATGAATAGATTAAAAAATTTGTGTAAGAATTTTAAAAAAATTAAATAGACATAGCCTCACTAATGCTCACTGTGGTTCTATGCGAGAGCATGTTAATTACCTGATGCCACAACACCCATTCATGAAGTCAAGCTTTTTTGAAAAAGAGAAAATAACGATAAAATCCTGCCTGCAAAAGTGAAAGCACTGTGACAATTTAGATAAAATGTCAAAACAAAACCCTTAATGGAAGCGGTTATTTATTTTTTTTAAACCTGAAGACGACAACAACTACTAGATTGCAAATTCTTTACCTGTTGCACTGAGCTTCAAACTCTTTGCATGTGGAGGAGCAAGAGGGACTTAAAGAATGACTCTGAACAAAACAAATGAAAAAAATAACACTAGAAGAGAATGAGATCATCTCTGACAAAGAGGTGGCTAGATTGTCTATGTAATTGTGCAAATGCTGAACTATTTATTTCTTTGAGTAGGTATTTCATATAATTAAAATGAGAACTTAATAGTTTTTAAAATTTCTGTAGTGATTAATTTAAAAATTAGTATATCTGTAACAAATTGAAACAGACCCCAAATATGCCTGCCATGAAGACACATTAACTAAAAGCACATACAGATGTTGTTTCAGTGTCTCTGATGCTATTGTGTATTTTCTGCCACTACAAAATTAGCAGACTTCCTTTTCAAGGCAGTTGCAACGTTGTTTTGTGTTCTGGTGTGCTGGATTTGCGTACAAACTTGACAACCTTGATCTAAGGAACAACTGAATTCTCTTCACCATACCTTTTAATTTTCATCCATACCTTTTAATTTTCCATTCTTCAACTAAAACTGAGTCTGTGTCTACTTTAAAAAATACAGTCCTTTAACTGCTTTGCTTACAAGCCTGATCAGTCCACAGTTGCTCTTGATTCTGCCATGAAAGCATTTAATGCTTTACTAGTTTAAAATGTTCCTTTACTTCTTTTGCTTTGTTTCCTTAACTAAAATTCTTCTTGTTAGAATATGACCTGGGGTTCACTTGCTTTGGGTGCTTCTTAAAAGTGGTGGTCTTCTGTGCTATCAAAAAAGGGGGGAAGGAAGTTCTTCATAGGCTACTTAATAGCTCTGGAATGAAGTGAGTACTGGGTGAATGAAAGCCAAATGAGTATTTTCCTAGCTGGAGAGGATGCTTGCAGTGTCTTTTCATCTAGTGAAAATTTTCCTTCATTACTGAATAAAAGTGCATTTGATTGACTTCTTTGATTAGATGAAGACTGTGTACAGAACTTGCTTCAACACTGACCAGGCTATGCCATCCTTTTAAACTGTTCACTTAGAAGCAATAGAGGAAACCCAACCTAGGCAGTTGTTCTTCCTTGTTTCAAATTCTGCTCCGTGATAAACAACTGCTTTTGTGAAGCTCTCTTAAAACAGATTTCATCTGCTTTATCTGTGTGCAGGGGTTTTAGGAGCCTTCACTGTATACATTAATGTGCATGTCAGTTCTGCAATGTGTGATTCATTGCTTATGTAGAGTTTGTATTTAGTCTTACAAAATATATTGTTAATCTACTGGTAAAAATCTCACTGAATACTATGCTAGAATGTCTTGTTATGTAGTACTTCAGTGGAAGCATCTAGGGTTTTCAGCTTTGTCTTGTCCCATGCAGTGTCTGTTCTTCTGTGCTTCTTTGCTATTAAGACAGACCTGTCCTTTTTATTTTATTTTGATAGTACAATTAAATGCAAAATCTGCTGCTTCCTGACGTTGTTAATACTTTGTAAACTCTTGTTCCCAAGTGTCTATTTCAAGAGTAAGTACTGTTGACAAAGCCAGTAATTGAGAGAGTTGAATTACACTGAAATACTAGAAATACTGACTTTTCAATTTTTTTTTTTATTTTTTAAGTTTCTTGTCACTGTTAAAGAGTTGTACTGTGGTTTCATAGTGGAGTCTTTTCCTCATATGGTAAACCACCTCTCTCACTTCAGGTAGTACTTAGTTTGGTATTAAGTAATCTGTGATAATACTGACATCTGATACTATGTACACTTCTACAAATGGAGATCGCTAGATGCTTTTTACCCCATCTGCTATGGTTAAATGACAAAAATCTTTATCAACCAAGAAATAATCAATTACCCTTTCTTCCTGCTTAGTGGTATGGGTTTGGTTTTTTTTTTTTTCCCCAGGCCTTGTGGTATTTATGTCTCCAGGTTCTTGCATCTCTGTAAATCAAGTCTTTCTAGAAACTGTCCTGTTCTT